TAAATGGATCATTGCCGTGTGCAGAATGTGCAAACACTGCGAGAACGCACAGCACGCACATCTGAAAGGCTTTCCCCTCCATAAGTTAAGCTTCCTTTTCCTATTTCACCGACGTGGAAACTGGGGCTCAGAATTGTTGCCCAGCAACTAACAGGCCATGCTGGGGTTCATGGACCTGTCTGATCCCACTGGCTTCTCCCTCAACCACCTGTTTCTGGTGACATCAGCATCTGAGGTGGGGAGAGGATGAGGTGGTCTTTCAATATGTAGGCCTTTTGATTCCTATTACTTGGCTTTTCCTGCCTTGTCTTGGAGTCACCTCTCCACTTCTCCCAGTCTGTCTCTCAAACACTTACAAGGTACTGACAGGATAGCAGGTCTTTCTCCAAGTTCTATGTGGTTACAGAAGTTGGGACCAGAGCACTTGAGCAGTTCTCCACGTTCCCAACACAGCCTGTAAACTTGACATTTCAGGACTGTAAGGGGCAGACAGCCTTCAGTGAGGGATGGGCAGCCTTACCGTGTGTAGGGGGAGCAAGTTGGGTGCACATATTTAAAGGAGGTGCTTACACAGACCTGAAGGACACTGTGTGTGTACGTGCGTGTACGAGTGCACATCTGGTGAGCACATGGCCACCAGTAGTTGTATTTGTGGTCTAGATCTGTGTCTGGGAACAGTGACATGTTCATGTGACATGAGACAGAAGCCGTGAGAGGGTCCAATCCAAAGTCACACAAAGAGGAAAATTGGGTCCTGAGGTGAGACCGAAGTCCCCCCACAGGGCCTTTGGCCATGCTTTGGGTCAGGAAGTGTCCCAAGAGATGGGATATATTACTGGGCACAGTGGTAGATAGGAAACCACCTTGAGAGTGCAAGCTGCTGTGCCTGTGATATGGAGAGGCCCCGGGATGCTCCTTTCCAGGAAAAGTAACTTATAAAGTTGAGTGCAGGGCTAGGACATGGGGTGGAGGAGCTGAAAAAGACGCCCAGCAGGTGAAAGTGCTTGCTGCACAAGGCTGATGACCTGAGTTCCACCGAGGAATCCCTGAAGGGAGATGAGATCCTCACATACGTGCTATAGCAACAGTGCATCCTCCTACACACATGCGTGCGCGCGCGCACACACACACACACACACACACACACACACACAAGTGCCTACGGGTCCTCAGAGCATCTGCTGTTTACGCAGCTTCCTGGACCTACATTTCTATAGTTCCCAGGGTTCACAGAACTGCCTAGAAGACACTGTGATGATTAGTCTTCATCATCAAGTTGATTACTTTAAAATTACCTAGGAGACAACCTTCAGGAGTGACTATGAGGGCATTCCCATGGAGGAGTGGGAAAACCCTACCCTGAGTGTGGGCATCATGTCCCGTGGGCTGTGGTCCTGAATGAGCCAGGGAAGGCGAGTGGAACACTGGCGTCCTCTCCCTCTGCTTCCTGACTGCAGATGGAGTGTGAACCGCTGCCCAATATTCCTGCCACCTGGTGTTCTCCACCACCATGGACTGTACCCCTCAAACTGTGAGCCAAAGCAAATCCTTCCTTTGTTAAGTTGATTTAATCAGTTTTGTTGTTTTTTGTTTGTTTTCATCATATGAAGGAGAAAAGTAGCTAAAACATCCAGATAACCAATTAACAGTCACAGTCAAGCTGGGCTATCTCAGTGTTAACATCACCCTAGTCTCATAGAATGTTACCCATTTATTTCTCTATTCTTGAGCTACAATCACTGAATGCATTGTTGCTGTTATTATTTTGAGCAAATTGTTATCCTTTAAGTCAATTAATAATAAAGATTAAAGATTTCATTTTTATTATTCTCTTTATGTTAATGAATTTCTGATGAATCTATTTTTTCTAGTCTTTGGAGAACTTTAACTTCTTTTTCCAAGACAGGCCGATAGTGACAAGATCCCCTAATTTCAAAAAAAGTATATATCTATTTTAGTTAATTTTTTCATGTATTCTGATCATATTCTTTCACCTTCTCCAACTCCTCCCAGATTCCCCCCTCCTCCCTATCCCCAGCTTCCAATTCTCTCTCCTTTCCACTTTCTTTCAAAAGAAAAAAAAATTAAAAAAAGAAAATCAACACAAACACACAAAAAACAAGAAGACAAACTAGGCATGGTGGCTCAAACCTTTAATCCCAGCACTGAAGAAACAGAGGGAGGCAATCTGATCTCTGTGAGTTCAAGGTCAGCCTGGTCAACATAACAAGTTTCAGAACAACTGGGGCTACATGGAGAGACTATATCTCAAAACAAAAGAAACAAAACAAAACCCAGTAAGATTAAAAAAATACTCAAACAAAACAAAAGCATACACTTACAAAAATGGAGTCTGTTTTGTGTTGGCTAACCACTCCTGGGTGTGGGGCCTGTGTATACACATGAGTGTATACACAAAGTGTGTATACACAAAGTGTATACACATGAGGCCAGTTGTTATACCCAATGACACTCCATTGGAGAAACCTCCTTTCCCAGAAGGCATTGTTTGTTTGAGAAATTTATTTGCCTTTGTCTTTTGAAAGATAATTTCTCTGAGTACAAACTTCTAGTCTGGTAAGGTCTTTCAACCCATTTATACCTTAAAACATTCCATCCCACATTTCCATTAGCCTACTTACAGTTGCTTTCACAATATCTGAAGGCATTTAAAAAGGGAAAATGTTTATTTGATTCAAGATTCAGGTGAGTGGGAAGTCAGAAGAGCCAGGTACTTTGTGGGCGCCCTTGGCTGTCTCACAACATGGTGGAGACACAGGAAAGGAACTGGTTAAGTGCAGAAGGGAGACGAGTATGTGAATGAGGAAGCAAGGGAGTGGGCAGGCCAGGCTCGCACTTCTCATGGCAGCCCACAGGACAGATGTACTGCAGGATCCACAGGAATCCCTCCACGAGAGCAGTCACGGCCAGATTGTCCCAACTTAGCCTCTCTTCTTCAAGGTCTCACCAACGTCCAATTTGGTTACATTCAGGAATCAAGCCTCAAACTGAGCGTGTGAAGGAGGGGCAGCAAAGTCAAAGCACAGCAACCCTCTTCCCCTTGACTATTTCCTAAAGAAAATCCCACGGCCCCTCTGATTTCTTGGAGGATTATTCTTTGTCTTTGCAGTCTGAATATGATTTGCCTGGTCGTAGGTGTTATGCGTTTGTACTGATTGGCGTTCTCTGAACTTCCTGTGTCTGGTTGGTGGTTGAGAAGTTCACAGTCGTTACCAGTACTACTGTTTCTTCTGTTCTTTCTGTCTGTCCTCTCACTCTGACATCCCCACAACATGGGGTCTGTTGTACCCTCTATAAGTGTGTTCTGGATGTTTTCTTCTATCTTTAAATCTTTTAAAATTATTTTTAAATTTTTCTTTATTTTTTTCCTTTTGTTTCAATTGTGGAAGTCCCTGCTAACACTTAAAAAAAATTTCACTGATTTAATATTTAGCCATATCCAGGCTACAGAGAAGCCCATTGAAAGTATTCTTTATTTCAGTGACAGTAGTTTTTATTTTTAGCACTTCATATTTTTTCTTAGACTATCTCTTCTAACAGTGCCTGTATGTTCTTGTATGTACCTGTATGGTCTTGTGTGTAGTCTGCTTTCCCCAGTATATTAGTCACCATTATGGTTAGTCTTAGCATTTAATTTTTTATTTCCTATTAGTATGTATTTGTGTTCACCTATGAGATATACATGCTTGCCACATGTGGAGGACAATGCTGTGGAGCCAGATCTTTCCCTCCACCTTCACATGATTTGTGGGGATCAAACTCATGTCTTTAGTCTTGCATCGCTGGGTAGCTGGCCCCTTATGGTTAATCTCTCTTGCCAACCTGAGGGGTTTTAAAGTCATAAAGAGACAAACCTTCAAGCATGTCTGGGAGGGAGTTTCTGGATTGAGTTAACTGAGGTAGAAAGACCATCCCATGAGCTGGGGCCACAGGCTGAATAACAAAGAGAAAGCTGAGCACCAGCAATTGTGTCTCTACTTTCTTATGTGAACACAATGTGAGCACCCACCTCACCAGGCTCCTGTCACCATAGCATCTTCACCATCGTGGTCTGGACCTTTAATCCACGAGTAAAATCAGCTCTTTCTTTCCCACATTGCCTTTGCCCGGGTTTTGTCACAGCAAAGGAAAAAGTAACTAATATACGTATTTTTTTTTTCAAAAGTTCTAGTCTAATTTGAATAACCTTGTCGTATGTCTGGGTCTGATGCTCCCACTTCCTCTCTCTCTGGTGCCTTGTTTTACTTATTTGTATTTTTTACATCGCTATACCTTCTCCCGCCACACACACCCAAAGAGAAGTTGTCTATGAAGTATTGGGAAAAGAAGCTGAGGCCATTAGGGTCCTTGGATGTCATGAGGTGTGGGAGAGAGGAGGCCCTTGATTGGTCTCAGTGAACCTATTCTCTCCAAAGGGCTTTTCAGCTCTTCCTTTATTCATGCCTGCTCTTTAGGTGAGATAAGAGGGCTATGTGGCTTGGCCTGGAGTACTCACCTTTCCCCAGGCCCATCAAGCTTGGGCCAGTTAACTAGACTCTAGTGAATTAGCATCTCTGGAGGACAGGTATCAACAAGGGCAGGGTGTTGCTGGAGTGTTCCAAAAATCTGTTTCCCTCAACCACACAGCACAGGGGACTGTTCTTTGAGCTGTGCAGTGATAATCTGGTAGGAGTCCTGGGTTAAAAAAAAAATCACAAATATGTGCACTACTCCCATCCAAACTGTACATAACCCAAGTTCTTATATATAAATTTATCTACAGTGGGTTTCTGGGAATTTGTCAATTACAGTTTCGGTTTTCCTATCCTGTTTTAGTTCCCATGGAAGTTTCTACTCTAACAAGTTGTGATTCTTTCTATCTGTCTGTCTTTCTAACTTGGGGTCAGAGGTTTACCCTGTGACCTCAATTCTCTGGCAAATTTAAGAAAACTTGTTGACTTTCAGTTTATTTAACTTTTTTTTCTTGTGTGAACAGGAGCCATGATTGCTGGACTGGGAAATAGAAGTTCCGGCATTTTATTTCCAAGCAAGTTTTCTCATGGACATTATTCAAGATCCTTTCCATTCTGAAGAGTATCAGAGACTGGGGTGGTAAAAGTAGGGTGTTCCTTGATGTTTTTTTTTTCCAAGATGGATAGTTCTATCTCTGAAGTAAGATGGATCTCTGAAGGTAACCAGTTCCTCTAGGAATTAATCTCTGGGTGTTCTACACTAGTTGAGGCTGCACAGGGAGAAATGCTAACAACCTTTTCACTGCTATTCCAGACAACAGGAAATGCTCAGTCAGTGCCCTGTCCAGAATCTTCAAAGGCCAATGCGTATATTCTAGGTGGAGTTGAGTGTGCAAGCTGACTCACCATAGGTAAGACAGGACGAATACCAAAGTTTCTAGGCAAAGCACTGTGTTGGTATTCATCTTCAAAGAATAACTTCAACTATATTTGAGTGTATATATTCCATGTGTTTTCCACATGGGAGTGGCATGGAGGGAGGAAAAAGAATCATCCTGATATCCCTACCTGGCACAATCAAAGGAAGGGAAATGTATTAGTCTTTGTCCACTGGACACAGTCTAGAATCAGCTGGGAGGAGTTTCAACTGAGGAGTTGTCTAGATCAGGTTGACCTGTGGACATGTCTGTGAGAGACTGTCTTGATTGTTAACTGATACAGGCAGATCTGTACCATTGTGTGTGGTACCAATCCCTACACAGGGCTCCTGAACAAACATGAGAGGAGAAAGAGAGCTAGAACATCAGCAGACAATAAGGATCTCTGTGCTTAATCTCTCTGATCTAGATTGTAGATATGATGCTCTAAGTTCTTGCTTTGGCTTTTCTGAAATGGCGAAGTGTGACCTAGAGGTCTAAGCTCAACAGTCTCTTTCCTCCCCTGTTTTGCTTTTAGTTAGGGTGTTTTAGTACAGAAACAAGACCTTTCATCCCAGGTCATCAGAATTCTCACTGGCATTCCCAACTGCCCTCTCAACACTCTCCACTGAGACTATGGAAATCAAGTTTCCCTCTATAGAGGAACACACATGAACACAAACATGGTGTTGTCCATGCAACTCTAGGCAGCACACAGATCTTGTTCATGGATCAGACTGTGTTCCATGGGAGCTAGCCAAGGACTTAAGACCCCAGTCCCAGAGGATTGATAGAAATAAAGAGTGCCCTGGCATCTTTCTCACTTTAAGAACCAGGACTCATGGATATACTCTGAGGCCCAAAGCCTTGCCTTGCAGGTACTCATACCCAGATCATTCTTGAAGGTGCAGTAGAGTTTGAAGCACAGTTCAAAACCAGTAGCAGCTGCAAAATCCTGACCCAAACTCTGACCTCATTCTCTCTATCTCCTTAGCAACCCGTTCTACTCTCTGGACCAGCACACTGTCCTGCCTCTGCACAGAGAGCCAGTCATCTACATATTGGTGATGTCATCCATCAGGAAAACACAGCATGGAATGGAGCCTCGGTGGATGAAGAAGGGCCTTTTAGATCTCACTGCATGGGTCCTAGCTCAAATAGCTAGCAGTAGATATTAGTTACAATGGTCAGCATAGACTTTCACTGAATAGCTCAAGCCCCATTCCTAATGGCCCATGTATTGCCTAACCCAACAACACTCACTTTTCCTGGGTTTGCAGCCCATGCAGGGGTTTTCACAGTGGGAGAATTTCCATGCTCTTTCATAAGTAGAAGCCCATTCCTATTCTTTAAATCTTCAGTCACAGCCCTAAAAGAAGGACCAGAAAATGGCAGTCAAAGGGTGGGAAGATGCCTGGAATAGCGCATCTTGATGAATTGGCTCTCTCTGCCTATCAGACAGAGGGTGCTTTGCTGTGTCATTGTCCCAACCAGTGTAAATGATAGACAGGTTGACATCTGTCCCATTATTTCCTGAGTCAGAGATACTTAGAGACAATTGAGTGGGTCTGAATGCTCTTAGTGCAGGGTGATATGGAGGAAGGAACCATGGACTTTTTTAAAATGAGTATTAGTTATTTTAGTTTGCAACATCTGCGACATTATGTTTATATTATTTACAAAATTGTTAAATATTTAAAAATAGTTAATATATAAAATTATTATATTATATATTGTAATATATAAAATTATTAAATATTATATTATGATATTATGAAATATCATATGTAAATATCAATCATTTCACTTTGCTAATACCTGTATTTTGAAGTATTTTCCATATACATACTTACCTATGTTCATTCATTCATTCATTCATTCATTCATTCATTCATTTGTTCGTTCATTCATTTATGTGGGTGACACACTTCGGCATGTGTGTGTAGATTTGGAGGGAGAGTGAGGGATTCACTTCTCTCTCTTCACACTGGTATGTTACAGATAGCAAACTCGGGTCATCAGGGTTGGTGGAAAATGCCACCATCTCGTGAGACCAGACTATCTATATTTCTTCTAGCAGTTTTGGGGTTTTACATCTTATGTTAAGGTCTTTGATCTATTTTGTAATTAAGCTTGGCATGTGGTGAGAAATAGGGATATAGAGTCATTTCCCAACATCTAGTTTTCTCAGAACGTTTGTGTGAGAGAATGTCTTTTTCTCTAATGTTTATTTTTGACATCTTTATCAATTAGTAGGTGGCTGTAGCTGTATGAGTTATTTCTGGGTCCTCTACTCCATTGGTCTACTTTTTTTTTTTTTTTTTTTTTTTTTTTTTTTTTTTTTTTTTT